GAGCGCAAATCAGCAGACCCTTCCGGATTGAGCGCAAATTAGCATTAACGTGCTTAAATACTCAAACAACCCTACAGTACAAGCCTCACAAACGGGCTACAAAAATGATCGTAACGATCCTGACTGATATAAATGCCTGTAACAACAATATATCTATCAACAACAAACGGGAGGGTCGGATCACATCTTGTCTGGGGGGATGATTTCTACTGATTTTTTAATTTTTTTACTGTTTTTGGTTTTTTCGGTTGTTTTTTATGTTTTTTGTTTTTCTTGGATACTATACTACTTTTTGTTTGGTTTCATATATATCTTTAATTGTTTTTGGTCACAGACCTCTCAGGGAACGAGGGGATGGCCGATGCCCCTACCCTTCCTGGTTCGTAAATTTTCGGTCTTAACTAGATTAAAAAGCTATTCACGGTAATCCGGAAGGCTTCCGCGTTCCAAACTACCCTTCCACCCCGGCGGTTTTGGCCTATTAAGGGCGTTCATGTCAGTTTCCGCTCGGCGCGGAGTGCTCGTTAACGGTTCTGCCGGTCATGATGTTAAAACAAATAATACCCAGGAGCGCCATAAAAACATCTATGTAACATTCGCCCGGAAGATACATATCGACGGAAAATAAAGCTAAGCTATAAAAAGACTGGCCAGCGTATAAACTAAGCTCTACATGCTAAACTCGGAGCGGTCTCTGTTACTTCTGTTTTTCTCTGATTCCGATCCTCAGTTTTTTTCGTTGTTATCGTCGTCGCAACTAATGTTGTTGTGTTTCTTTCAGTTTCTTCTCTAAAATGGCCGTTTCTGTCGTTTCTTAGAATTGTTACGTCATCAATTCGAATTTTTAAAATTTAGGAATTTCCGAATCCTTCAGCCTTCACGATTTGTCCAATCGTTCGAATAACGCTCTTATTCCTTCAAAACCGCCAGTTTGGAAGGTTCGCTGCTAAAAACTCGAAATTGCTGCGTCTGCATTTTGGTCCATTCTGATCGAATGTCACAAAGGTCAAACTTCCAAATATGAGCGACTGGCATTGTTTTTAACGGCGTTCGCGTGTTTTAGGTATTTAGAGACCTAGCCATGTGGACGTTCTTATTTCTAGCGTGGGGGTATTTTGGTAGTGGCCTTTGAGCTGTAACACGATTTTGTAATCCCATTTCTTTAACGACCCGAATTGGCTCCGACAGAATGAGGTACAAAAACACAAGAAGTTGTTCTCTGACCCTTGAGCAAATGGTTGTAGGGCCTAATTCTCTTAACCTCATATGTGACATAAGCGGACGACTGTAGAGAAAACATGTTGCAATCGCGCGAAATATGACTCATCCTCCTACTTGAAACAAACATAATATATGATTATAAAATAAATATTAAATAAAGAACTGCCAGCTAATGAAAAAGCAAATATGAAAATTTTCAATTCGAAAACCCAAGAACAAAAAACTGTACCTAGTGGAAAGATAATGGTAAATACATTGAAAGTTCTGTTTTCAAAAGATCAGTAAGAATATATAACAACATTCATCAAAATGTATCCTCAGATGACGTACTGATCTAAAAAAAGGTTTAAAAATTACTTTTTATCTCTATTTAAGGAAGAATACACTGACAACCTATGGTAAGCTGTCATGGAAAGATTTCAGTTTTATAGATAGATAGATAGATAGATAGATAGATAGATAGATAGATAGATAGATACTTAAATTAGTTATAGAATGACATCTATAAATCGTAATAAGACAACAAATTAAACTATATGTCATGAAGTCTGCGCAGCAGGCGATAAAGAAATATATTCATTTGCCTCTCCATCTTACAGCGAGCAATAGGTGGATCACGACAGCGCAGGTTGTTTGCTGAGTAGGTAGAACGTGTCGGAACTAAATCAAACAACAGATGATCAGAACCTGTTTGGAGGATTGCATCGTAGAATTTTTGGTCAGCTCTTCTAATAGTTGCAGATATTGGTTCATAAGTATCAGTAACGCCGAGCCTTATTGCACGTCTTTGAAACAAATTTATCTTCTCTAGATCTTTAACATTTGAACCACCCCAAACATTAATGCCAAAGTAAAGCTTTGGGAGAACAAAAGCACGATACAAAATAGCAAGTTCGTCCTTCGAATAACCGATTTTACCAAGGCGCCAGATTGAAAAAAGTATAGAGTTCGATTGTTTAACAGCTTTGTGAATATGCTTAGAAAAACCAAATTTGGAGTCAATCGTTAACCCCAGCACTTTGAGGTCATCAACAACCTCAATGCCCTCAACCATATGTATGGCATTACTGCCACTATGGTTGAAAATGATACGCGTTTCCTTGGAAGATTTTTGAACTTTGAGAAACAAGTTTCTTGCGTCAAATTGGTGACAGAGCGAACTAATAACTTCCCGAGCATTGTCAGCGCTATTGCAGCCAGCTACAAGAGGATTGTTATCGTCAGCATAAGTTGATAACGTGGTGGAAATATCTGAAACATCAATAGCATGGGTAGAGCAATTGTAAAGAGTGGGAAAATATTCATTACTCCTTCTATCACACACTTGTGGGAAATAGTATCAAAAGCTTTTGACATATCTAGAGAAAAGAAGCGAACATAATCAAAGTTTTCACGGAAATTCCAGAGATGATGTTGCAGCCTAATGAGCATACAGGAAGTAGAAGAATGTTTACGAAAACCATACTGGTTACGTGTAAGCCATCTGTTATAAGGGCCTTGCAGATAGTTCTGGTAAATTAACCTTTCAAACACTCTGGACATAACAGAAGTAACAGAGACAGGCCTCAAATCCTTTGGTTGCCTCGGAGACGAAACTTTTGGCAAGGGAGATATTTTTGCAAGCTTCCAAAACTCCGGGAAAATACCTTGTTCCAAGCACAAGTTGAACATATGACAATAGATTTCGACCAAATTGTGAGCATTGTCCTTAAAGATCCAAAATGGGAGAGCTTCTGGGCCAGTAGCGGTGCGCCTAATGCGTTTCATGGCATTAAATATTTGCAAGAGCGAAAACTGTGGACCGTCATTTGTAGTCTCCAAATAAGTAGGCTTGAATGGGCCTCCAGAAGCAGTGGAGATGCCATTATAGTACTGGTTAAGCTGCTCAGCCGAAAAAACACAGGTGCGATCTGGGGCTATTGTATTCTTATTCAATAAAGTATTCACACGCTGCCACCAGTTTCGACCACTGGAATCAGAAAAGGCACGTTTAGTAATTAACATACGAACTTGAAGGCCGACAGCATTCGCTTCCGCAAGTTTACCTCGACGTGTATGTCGATGCTTCTTCCTTAAAAGATATTTGATAACCGGAGTCATGAAAAGTGGATCCTTTGAGCAAAGAACAACACGTTTCAATGGACAGGCGACCTTATACAGATTCAGAAGCTCGTTAGAAAGTTCCCCTAACAACACATTTGGATCGTTGTAGTTAAGAAAATAACTTAAATCATGGGTATCCAGCAAATAGTTCAAATGATTTTTGTTGGCAAATCTATGGTCACGAAAGTAAACAACCTTCTTTCAGATTGTTCAACACCATGACAAGCAACCAAACCAATATGGTCCGTTCTCAGAGTAGACGTAAATCGTTCAATACCATTGAAATAAATTTCATCCGAACACAATATTTTGTCAAGTCTATTATTCCCGCGTGTGGGTTCCGTACAAACATCGTAAAGACCGCAATCTAATACGAGGTCATCAGTATCCAAGTTATTGAAATCCCCACAGATTACAATAATTGACGATAGGTTCTGGTCCCTGAAGACATTGATGGAATGTGAGATATGCATTTCTAGCTGACGGCCATACGTAGCATCAGGTGGGAAATAAACCAAACAGACCAACAAATATTTATTTCCTACGCTAACTGACAGCCACAGAATTTCATACTGATCAGAATGATGACAAGTCCACCGATCACTGACAATACCTTCACGAACAAAAATACAGACACCGCCGCTTGTGGTTTTGTTTGAGTTCAACGAACTGCGGTCTTTCCTAAATATCTTATACCCAGGAATAGCAATAAACGAATTATCAATGTCCGTGGTTAACCAAGACTCAGTTATACAGATAATATCAAATCCGTGATAACTGGCATCACACTGTAGTTCATAAATGGCATTATGTTTTTTCAATGAACGGTCATTCAGCAAACAGAGAGTAATTTTGCGGTTGGCTAGTCAAAACACATGTTCTTTGCCATCCAGATACAATTTTAAATCTCTAACTCTCAGTCTATCCTTTGAGATACCGTTTTCGACAAGTTTATAACGTTCAGAGAGAATACGCGACTCTAATTTTTTTCGTCAACAGTAAACTCTCTGGATAAGTAGATGCGATCAGAATAATCTTTCAAGATATACGATTTAGCCAGCAACTTACGAACCAGCCATGGATTCTTAAACCTCACCAGCAAGGTTCTCGGCCTGGTAGCATCAGATCGATATTTTCCCAGCCGAAAGGAATCAGTTATAGGCTCATTGACAGACTCTCCCAAACACTCCATAACTTTTCTGACTGCTTGAATATCTGAATCCATTCTGTCATGCAATTTCTGGTTGGAAGGTTCAGGCACGCCATTTATTCTTATTCCCATTTTACTTTGATCATCAGGTGTAACAGGTGTTGCTGTGTGGCCATTTACAGTTGTCTTAGTATCAGTGGATACAATAGCTGCTTTAAGATTGATGACTTCAGTTTTGATAGATTCTAGAGAAGTTTCAATAGACTTATCTCGACTGGACGTCTTCATTGCTGTCTTGGCATCGTCAAGGCAGTTCGCACAGGCCCACATAATCCCACGAACCGATGATAGATGATCGTAAACCTGCTGCGGGATGTCCGTACACGCCCGATGCCACCACTCGCCACATCTATCGCATTGCACTCCTTCGTCTTGCTTCTTCACGGCTGCGTTGCAGGATGTACACGGTGAATAATGAGCACTCTTCAAGCGTCCACGTGTCCCCGTCATCATAGTATATGAAACCATTTAATAAGTTTATCACAACAATTAGGCTTTATTTGTGCTTTTCTTTGATTTATTTATTAATTATTTGATATTGCTATGATTATTTAATCACGTGAAATAAAAAATTTTGTAAAAGTAAAATCTGAATTTGACTTACACTTGACTCCGGGAATTTGTTTCAATTTGCTAATAAATAGTGTTTTTTTAATTGAAATTTGTTAAGTTCCTGCTTAGCAGTTGCACGGACGACCGCCTAGTGATACCCGCGTTGTACTTCAAGACTGTTGGCCCCTCATGATCTGATTTTATGCATAAATTATTTCAGGTCAAATGCGCTGCGTAGGATTCAGCTTTGCAGTGCTTGCAGCATTACAATGGGCTGTCTTAAGTGTAAGATACGAATAAAAATACAGATGTATGCTTCAATATCAAATATTTTCAACATCAGGAGAAGGTAAACTACCATTGAACTTGAGTTGAGTTGATTTGCTCGCATTTTAGACTGCCGAAGAGTTGTCAAATAAATCAGAGTGTGTGAGTTCAGGATTTTTGCCGGAATCGCTTCAATGTGGTTCTTGTGGCGACTTGGGTAAATTTGGATTGTCATCATTGAAAGAAAGTTGTCTAGATTGCTGCCACGGAGACTCCCTTGCCAATGTAGGTTGTTGTCAAGCTAAATTTTCAGAAGCATCTTTCAGTATAAAATCTGAGTGAACCCTTTCAGACGTATCACAGTGCAGTCATCGAAGTATGCAACTGAAAGTTGCCAAAATTCCCCCAGCTGGACGGTAGGTTATCTGCGTTCTGTGTTAAAATTGATGATAACCTCTTGATTAAACTTGCGAATCGGGATCTGCGTTCTGTGTTAAAATTGATGATAACATCTTGATTAAACTTGCGAATCGGCAACTAGGTTCTTTGCCCGTAAACAGTTTTTCTTACACGTAAGAAATTGTGGTTGCTTTATTATCCATTCTGTGTAACTTTCAGGCCCCTCCCTCCGCTTAGCCTGGGGGTAATGCAGTTGCCTTTGCACTCTATGGTTTGGTGTTCGAGTCCTAGCTGGACCTTGTTTTTTTTTTCAGTGTATGAAACTGAATTTTTTTCGGGAAAAATTGAATAGTCTGATTGTTGTTTGTCGACTTATGATTTGTCGGCTTAGTTGCTATGTCACTGATTTTTTTTTGCGCTGTAAGCAGTTTTCATGATAATTTTAAGTGTCGTTCACTACCGCTTAGAAATTTTATTCTGCCTAATTGATTTCGGCTCATGTTTTATCGGTTAAGTGAAATTATTTTGCAACGGCGTAAAATATATTTTTTAAAATTTGATTGAATCAGGTCGGCTGAAGTATAAAAGTTGAAGATTCAAGCAATTTCTGCGGTCAAACTTTATTATGACAATTTTTTTCCAGTCTGCTCAAAGATTATCGACTTAGTTGTCTAATCGTGGACTTTTCTTGTTGTTTAAGCAACTTTCATTGAAGTTAACAACAACAAGTGTTGTTCAATGTAGTTTCAGGGAACACTTATAACTTTACAACTTTCAAGTTTTTTTTGTAACTTTTTTTGGGCTCAATTGTGTCTGCTCAAAGATGTCGGCTTAGTTTTCTTCTGTTGCTAATTTTACCGAGACTTACGAATTTTGTAGACCTAGTTTTTTGACTTCATATTTTTTCGACTTTTGTTTATGTGCTGTATCGCAAGTGATGTGAAGCTCCGCTTTTCCTCTGTGCTGATTAATGAATTCTTGCAATTGTTTTAGCCTTTATAAAGACAAAGCTGGACAGTAAAGCATTTCCCCAGGTCAAAGTAAAGGTATGAACATATTCGTATCCAGAAAATGGACAGCAATTTGCACTGAATATCATCATCTATATTTTTCTTCAGTACCTCCGAGGGAAGATGCCTTTGCTGAAACTTCTTGATGAGAGTGGAGGAGTTATGGATGAATTGAACATAGAGAAGTGGGATACAGACAGCATTGACGAGTTCCTGAGGGAGAAGTTTCAGTTATAGACAAAAGTTAATTTCAAATACAATCATTTAGCAAAGTTCTCTCACAGCCATTTTTGAGGAGAGCCATTTTAAACTAGTTTGGTGAGTTTTAGGCAAAACTCCAATTTAGAAAGCGGGAGTGCTGCGGCTTCTATTTGTTCTATAAGAATTGATTTGATGTTTTGCAAAATCAGATGAGTTGATTGTTGATTAATTTGCGTAAACAGATGCCGTTAATTCTCTTCTAAATTATTTAAGCAACTCATTTTCCGTCAGAATCAACTGCAAAAAATATAATATTTTATTTTAAAATTTGGTTGTTTGACGGAATTTAGCTGTTCAAGGCAAAAGTTTTCATCTATTGGGTTCGACAAAACATGAGCTGTTGTGATTTCATTACTTTACAATCAAATACTATGAAATGGGCAAAACCCGAAATAATTCCATTCCTCCAAATTGAATATGGGCCCGAAACTCACCAAAGGATTAATAACTATTAGCTTTCTGTCGGAGTTTTAAGCAACCGTTTTGATAGCGGTTTTGAGCGCAACCCAGTATGGCTAAAAGTGCATCAAAGTGTTGGCTCTCGAAAAGTACTGTGCGAATACTTTTGCTATAAGACGCGGTGTTTAAGTGCAGTTCAAAGAGTTCATCTATTCAGTTTGACCTATTTTAGGTCTTCGTTTTTTTCGGTGCAAAGGTTATTTGGTGCAAAGCAGTTTCGGTGCAAAGCACGATACAAAATAGCAAGTTCGTCCTTCGAATAACCGATTTTACCAAGGCGCCAGATTGAAAAAAGTATAGAATTCGATTGTTTAACAGCTTTGTCAATATGCTTAGAAAAACCAAATTTGGAGTCAATCGTAAACCCCAGCACTTTGAGGTCATCAACAACCTCAATGCCCTCAACCATATGTATGGCATTACTGCCACTATGGTTGAAAATGATACGCGTTTCCTTGGAAGATTTTTGAACATTGAGAAACAAGTTTCTTGCGTCAAATTGGTGACCGAGCGAACTAATAAATTCCCGAGCATTGTCAGCGCTATTGCAGCCAGCTACAAGAGGATTGTTATCGTCAGCATAAGTTGATAACGTGGTGGAAATATCTGAAACATCAATAGCATGGGTAGAGCAATTGTAAAGAGTGGGAAAATATTCATTACTCCTTCTATCACACTCTTGTGGGAAATAGTATCAAAAGCTTTTGACATATCTAGAGAAAAGAAGCGAACATAATCAAAGTTTTCACGGAAATTCCAGAGATGATGTTGCAGCCTAATGAGCATACAGGAAGTAGAAGAATGTTTACGAAAACCATACTGGTTACGTGTAAGCCATCTGTTATAAGGGCCTTGCAGATAGTTCTGGTAAATTAACCTTTCAAACACTCTGGACATAACAGAAGTAACAGAGTCAGGCCTCAAATCCTTTGGTTGCCTCGGAGACGAAACTTTTGGCAAGGGAGATATTTTTGCAAGCTTCCAAAACTCCGGGAAAATACCTTGTTCCAAGCACAAGTTGAACATATGACAATAGATTTCGACCAAATTGTGAGCATTGTCCTTAAAGATCCAAAATGGGAGAACTTCTGGGCCAGTAGCGGTGCGCCTAATGCGTTTCATGGCATTAAATATTTGCAAGAGCGAATACTGTGGACCGTCATTTGTAGTCTCCAAATAAGTAGGCTTGAATGGGCCTCCAGAAGCAGTGGAGATGCCATTATAGTACTGGTTAAGCTGCTCAGCCGAAAAAACACAGGTGCGATCTGGGGCTATTGTATTCTTATTCAATAAAGTATTCACACGCTGCCACCAGTTTCGACCACTGGAATCAGAAAAGGCACGTTTAGTAATTAACATACGAACTTGAAGGCCGACAGCATTCGCTTCCGCAAGTTTACCTCGACGTGTATGTCGATGCTTCTTCCTTAATAACCGGAGTCATGAAAAGTGGATCCTTTGAGCAAAGAACAACACGTTTCAATGGACAGGCGACCTTATACAGATTCAGAAGCTCGTTAGAAAGTTCCCCTAACAACACATTTGGATCGTTGTAGTTAAGAAAATAACTTAAATCATGGGTATCCAGCAAATAGTTCAAATGATTTTTGTTGGCAAATCTATGGTCACGAAAGTAAACAACCTTCTTTCAGATTGTTCAACACCATGACAAGCAACCAAACCAATATGGTCCGTTCTCAGAGTAGACGTAAATCGTTCAATACCATTGAAATAAATTTCATCCGAACACAATATTTTGTCAAGTCTATTATTCCCGCGTGTGGGTTCCGTACAAACATCGTAAAGACCGCAATCTAATACGAGGTCATCAGTATCCAAGTTATTGAAATCCCCACAGATTACAATAATTGACGATAGGTTCTGGTCCCTGAAGACATTGATGGAATGTGAGATATGCATTTCTAGCTGACGGCCATACGTAGCATCAGGTGGGAAATAAACCAAACAGACCAACAAATATTTATTTCCTACGCTAACTGACAGCCACAGAATTTCATACTGATCAGAATGATGACAAGTCCACCGATCACTGACAATACCTTCACGAACAAAAATACAGACACCGCCGCTTGTGGTTTTGTTTGAGTTCAACGAACTGCGGTCTTTCCTAAATATCTTATACCCAGGAATAGCAATAAACGAATTATCAATGTCCGTGGTTAACCAAGACTCAGTTATACAGATAATATCAAATCCGTGATAACTGGCATCACACTGTAGTTCATAAATGGCATTATGTTTTTTCAATGAACGGTCATTCAGCAAACAGAGAGTAATTTTGCGGTTGGCTAGTCAAAACACATGTTCTTTGCCATCCAGATACAATTTTAAATCTCTAACTCCCAGTCTATCCTTTGAGATACCGGTTTCGACAAGTTTATAACGTTCAGAGAGAATACGCGACTCTAATTTTTTTCGTCAACAGTAAACTCTCTGGATAAGTAGATGCGATCAGAATAATCTTTCAAGATATACGATTTAGCCAGCAACTTACGAACCAGCCATGGATTCTTAAACCTCACCAGCAAGGTTCTCGGCCTGGTAGCATCAGATCGATATTTTCCCAGCCGAAAGGAATCAGTTATAGGCTCATTGACAGACTCTCCCAAACACTCCATAACTTTTCTGACTGCTTGAATATCTCAATCCATTCTGTCATGCAATTTCTGGTTGGAAGGTTCAGGCACGCCATTTATTCTTATTCCCATTTTACTTTGATCATCAGGTGTAACAGGTGTTGCTGTGTGGCCATTTACAGTTGTCTTAGTATCAGTGGATACAATAGCTGCTTTAAGATTGATGACTTCAGTTTTGATAGATTCTAGAGAAGTTTCAATAGACTTATCTCGACTGGACGTCTTCATTGCTGTCTTGGCATCGTCAAGGCAGTTCGCACAGGCCCACATAATCCCACGAACCGATGATAGATGATCGTAAATCTGCTGCGGGATGTCCGTACACGCCCGATGCCACCACTCGCCACATCTATCGCATTGCACTCCTTCGTCTTGCTTCTTCACGGCTGCGTTGCAGGATGTACACGGTGAATAATGAGCACTCTTCAAGCGTCCACGTGTCCCCGTCATCATAGTATATGAAACCATTTAATAAGTTTATCACAACAATTAGGCTTTATTTGTGCTTTTCTCTGATTTATTTATTAATTATTTGATATTGCTATGATTATTTAATCACGTGAAATAAAAAATTTTGTAAAAGTAAAATCTGAATTTGACTTACACTTGACTCCGGGAATTTGTTTCAATTTGCTAATAAATAGTGTTTTTTAATTGAAATTTGTTAAGTTCCTGCTTAGCAGTTGCACGGACGACCGCCTAGTGATACCCGCGTTGTACTTCAAGACTGTTGGCCCCTCATGATCTGATTTTATGCATAAATTATTTCAGGTCAAATGCGCTGCGTAGGATTCAGCTTTGCAGTGCTTGCAGCATTACAATGGGCTGTCTTAAGTGTAAGATACGAATAAAAATACAGATGTATGCTTCAATATCAAATATTTTCAACATCAGGAGAAGGTAAACTACCATTGAACTTGAGTTGAGTTGATTTGCTCGCATTTTAGACTGCCGAAGAGTTGTCAAATAAATCAGAGTGTGTGAGTTCAGGATTTTTGCCGGAATCGCTTCAATGTGGTTCTTGTGGCGACTTGGGTAAATTTGGATTGTCATCATTGAAAGAAAGTTGTCTAGATTGCTGCCACGGAGACTCCCTTGCCAATGTAGGTTGTTGTCAAGCTAAATTTTCAGAAGCATCTTTCAGTATAAAATCTGAGTGAACCCTTTCAGACGTATCACAGTGCAGTCATCGAAGTATGCAACTGAAAGTTGCCAAAATTCCCCCAGCTGGACGGTAGGTTATCTGCGTTCTGTGTTAAAATTGATGATAACATCTTGATTAAACTTGCGAATCGGGAACTAGGTTCTTTGCCCGTAAACAGTTTTTCTTACACGTAAGAAATTGTGGTTGCTTTATTATCCATTCTGTGTAACTTTCAGGCCCCTCCCTCCGCTTAGCCTGGAGGTAATGCAGTTGCCTTTGCACTCTATGGTTTGGTGTTCGAGTCCTAGCTGGACCTTGTTTTTTTTTCAGTGTATGAAACTGAATTTTTTTCGGGAAAAATTGAATAGTCTGATTGTTGTTTGTCGACTTATGATTTGTCGGCTTAGTTGCTATGTCACTGATTTTTTTTTGCGCTGTAAGCAGTTTTCATGATAATTTTAAGTGTCGTTCATTACCGCTTAGAAATGTTATTCTGCCTAATTGATTTCGGCTCATGTTTTATCGGTTAAGTGAAATTATTTTGCAACGGCGAAAAATATATTTTTTAAAATTTGATTGAATCAGGTCGGCTGAAGTATAAAAGTTGAAGATTCAAGCAATTTCTGCGGTCAAACTTTATTATGACAATTTTTTCCAGTCTGCTCAAAGATTATCGACTTAGTTGTCTAATCGTGGACTTTTCTTGTTGTTTAAGCAACTTTCATTGAAGTTAACAACAACAAGTGTTGTTCAATGTAGTTTCAGGGAACACTTATAACTTTACAACTTTCAAGTTTTTTTTGTAACTTTTTTTGGGCTCAATTGTGTCTGCTCAAAGATGTCGGCTTAGTTTTCTTCTGTTGCTAATTTTACCGAGACTTACGAATTTTGTAGACCTAGTTTTTTGACTTCATATTTTTTCGACTTTTGTTTATGTGCTGTATCGCAAGTGATGTGAAGCTCCGCTTTTCCTCTGTGCTGATTAATGAATTCTTGCAATTGTTTTAGCCTTTATAAAGACAAAGCTGGACAGTAAAGCATTTCCCCAGGTCAAAGTAAAGGTATGAACATATTCGTATCCAGAAAATGGACAGCAATTTGCACTGAATATCATCATCTATATTTTTCTTCAGTACCTCCGAGGGAAGATGCCTTTGCTGAAACTTCTTGATGAGAGTGGAGGAGTTATGGATGAATTGAACATAGAGAAGTGGGATACAGACAGCATTGACGAGTTCCTGAGGGAAAAGTTTCAGTTATAGACAAAAGTTAATTTTAAATACAATCATTTAGCAAAGTTCTCTCACAGCCATTTTTGAGGAGAGCCATTTTAAACTAGTTTGGTGAGTTTTAGGCAAAACTCCAATTTAGAAAGCGGGAGTGCTGCGGCTTCTATTTGTTCTATAAGAATTGATTTGATGTTTTGCAAAATCAGATGAGTTGATTGTTGATTAATTTGCGTAAACAGATGCCGTTAATTCTCTTCTAAAATATTTAAGCAACTCATTTTCCGTCAGAATCAACTGCAAAAAATATAATATTTTATTTTGAAATTTGGTTGTTTGACGGAATTTAGCTGTTCAAGGCAAAAGTTTTCATCTATTGGGTTCGACAAAACATGAGCTGTTGTGATTTCATTACTTTACAATCAAATACTATGAAATGGGCAAAACCCGAAATAATTCCATTCCTCCAAATTGAATATGGGCCCGAAACTCACCAAAGGATTAATAACTATTAGCTTTCTGTCGGAATTTTAAGCAACCGTTTTGATAGCGGTTTTGAGCGCAACCCAGTATGGCTAAAAGTGCATCAAAGTGTTGGCTCTCGAAAAGTACTGTGCGAATACTTTTGCTATAAGACGCGGTGTTTAAGTGCAGTTCAAAGAGTTCATCTATTCAGTTTGACCTATTTTGGGTCTTCGTTTTTTTCGGTGCAAAGGTTATTTATTTATTGAAGTGTACATATTTGTTCTAATATTGATTATTAATGTTTGTAGTTAATGTAAAAACTTGATGAAAGGTTTTGGGTTGATTTTGTTGGTTTTTTAACTCTATATTTGAAGCAACGTATGACGCCTGCTGAAAGAACCTCTTCTGAGGACTTGGCAGGCCGAACAGGATCTTTATCCATGTTTCATTTGAACAGTTATTCTCGCCAGAAGTCTCAATTCAAATCATTTTCACTATCTGTTTTGTCAAGTAATAGTATGATTTTGGGTTTTAATACAGATTTTAACGATGGAGTTTCAACACTGATTAATTGTTTTTTCAAGCTCTTCAAGTTTTTTCAAGCGTTTCAGAGAATCTTTGATTTGAAATTAAAGTGTCTAAATTATCTCATTGCTTCTTGAATTCTAAACCTGCTAAGACATGGCCCGAACTAAGCAAACTGCCCGTAAGACCACAGGCGGTAAAGCGCCTCGAAAGACTCTGGCGACGAAAGCGGCTCGAAAAATGGCGCCAATGGGTATGCATGGAGGTATCAAGAAACCCCATCGTTACAGGCCAGGAACTGTAGCTTTAAGAGAAATTAGAAAGTATCAAAAGAGCACTGAGCTTCTGATCCGCAAACTTCCATTTCAGAGATTGGTTCGAGAGATTGCCCAGAATTTAAAACCGGATCTGAAATTTCAGGGACAGGCTATATTAGCATTGCAAGAAGCGGCAGAGAGCTTCTTAGTTAGCCTGTTCGAAGATACAAACTTGTGTGTAATTCATGCCAGAAGAGTGACTGTTATGCCTCGAGATTTGCAGTTAGCCAGACGAATAAGAGGAAACTTTATTTAAATTTTTCATTGAAAGTGTGAAAAAAATGAAAAGTTGCTAGATTCCGAGAGAAAAGCAGCGAGTTAGACATATGTAGACATAACTTAGGTACAAGAAGTTTTTTTTAAATTGAGGCATTAAATCAAATACTGTATTTTCACAAGTGAAGCGCGCAGTGTTATATAACGAAAGCTGCTTTTTCAAACCAAATTTGCAAATAAAAGGGCTCATTTATTTGGCATTTCAACCATTTCTTTTTATCTGTTTACTTTTGCTACATAGCAATATATCTGGTTTGCTCGTGTAGCATTAGCATTATATCTTTGTATCTGGTTAATTGGTGGCTAATGCTTGACAATTTTTATGCGATCATGAAGTAGATGCTAGGACGTTAGTCTCTTAAACTTGAGGTTGATCGTTCTATTCCGGCACAGGTCTAAGTTTTTATTAGCTTTACTTTTTCTTTTCTTTTTCTCTTTTTTTTAGGCAACTTTTTGCCGTTTTCTTGATTGTGTGCAGCGTCGCCTCTGCACAAAGAAGTTAACAGATTGTGAAAGTAATTTCACCCGGCTGAATGTCTTCTCTGTGCAATTGCAATTAGATCGCTTGAGATGTTTGGTTAGATAGACTAGTTTTTTAATTACTTAACTAACAATTGCTTTTAAGCCATTATATCTTGACGTCTCCCGTCATCGTAATTTTTTTTCTGATTTTTTTTTTCAAAAGGAGGAGATAACTTGACTGTTCTTTTCAGATAATGTCTCAGAATGAGTTCGGGGACTGATTCTAGCTCCTCGTCTGGTGACAGACCAGACACAGAGAACGAGGAGTTATCTTCACCCTCCTCGCAACAACCATCTGTTTTGACCCCACCTTCCACAGAGGTCCACGTCACTATCATAGATGAGGAGGTCGGCTTATTGGACGACAGTACATGCAACGCAACCACGAGTAGCAATGCCAGTTTCTCTAATTCGCCTGGAAGTCTTTCGCTACCCAATAGTGCCAAATCACCTGGAGCTACTGATTCTACAGTTGCGTTGCAGTCGCCGGGAGTTTTTGAGAAAAAGGTGAAATTTGCCAAAGGAACCAAAACTTCTTCTGATTATAAATCGCAGAAAAATGAGACTAAGTTCTTTCCAAAAAATATTCCGCTGTCAAGAGTTTCAAATGAGTCACCGAGTTCTGAAGATAGTGTAGATGTGTCATCCGTTTCAACGGTGCCAGAAGATGATCCTAGAACGAGTAAAAAGTCATACGCAACACTTGGCGATCTGGTCTTCTCGCGGTGTTCGTTTTCAAAGAAAGATAACGAATCAGAAACATTCAAAGACCGCGCCGAAGAGCTTCGAGAAAAAGTTAAGCAAAGAAAGGCCGATAAAGAGAAGCAACGGGACAAAAAAGCGACCTCTTCGACTGTAAATTTGGACGATGATCTTATCAAAGATTTGGAGAAGCACACAAAACGAGACGTGGTGAGCAAGAAACAGTCTAAGTTTCCGCAGCCGAGTAAAAGTACAGGGAAGGCAAGTAGTAGCTCTGTTACCATCAATAAATTAGATACAGGAAAAGTGTCCAAAAAGAAATTGACCAAGGGCTCAAAAGTCAATAAACTCGATCTGCTCGAAGAGTATGCGCAAATGCTACGAGATGCGATAAAACATCAAAGTGATTCCGATGAAGAAAGTTCAAGCTCAAGTGACGACAATTCTAACTCTCGAAAACACAAATCGAAGAAAAAGAAGAAGAAAAAACTTTCACATCGCAAGACTCAGGACTCTGATGAAATCATGGAAGTTATCAAGCTAGAGGCTCAATCGAACGATGAAATGGACGTTGACACCCCTTCGCCACAACCAACAGAAATTACGTTCTCTTTTCAATCTCAAGAAGCGTCATCAGGTTCGATTACCATTAAAGAGGAGCCGGAACTGGACGTGGTTTGTGTAAAGCAGGAACCTGATAGCTCTCAGTTGCAGGCATGCTGCGGCTCTCAGGCATCAGCATTGCCAATTCCAGCTTCTAATATAGCCTTACCTGTATGTGCACAATCATCGCTAGCATCATCAGTTGAGACTTCTGCCCAAGCTGCTGCTTCAAATTCAAACTATTCGATTTTGTCATCTGATTCGATTAATGCAGATCCGAACCAAGCGCCAAAGAAAACTCGACGCAGCAGTGCGAGAGAAAGATCGAGGTCGCCACCGCCTCCTCCCCCGCCGCCACCTCCACCGATGATGCCTGGCGAAGGCATCATTCCATTTCCACCTCCGTCTTTTATCAGTTCTACCCGCAGTGACCAGTTTCCAGTATCCAGCAGTTGCTTTCAAAGCATCTCACAACCACCGCCGGCTAGGGAATTCCTTGTTCAAAATGCACCGCCGGCGCCTTTTCAATCTACTTCGACTGCGATTTCATTATCCAATCAGCCTTCTCCTGGGCCTAGTTTCTACTCCGGGGCGCCACCAGGGTTATTAAACATGCCGCCTCATCTGCTCCCGCCTATGCCGAATCAAATGAACCCACCGGCCTTCCAACCGCCTCAAATGACTGCCAATAACATGCCTCCGCCTCCGTACACGCCTTTTCCAACCAACATGCAATTCAGAAATCCACCGCCAAATCCGCCTTCTGGTGGAAACCTGAACCAAAATCTACCAACTGCAAATTTACCACCACCTCTGCCGCACATGATGTCTTCAAATTCAGGAATAAGAATGCAGTCCCAGTTCAATGGAGCTGGAAATTTCAATTTTCAGCCTCCGATGTTTGATAATAATATGAGGAATAATATAACCGGCAATGTGACTGTTCAACAGGAAGCTCAACTACCGAATTTAAAGCCAGTCGCTCAGGTTAACAGCACGATTGTTTTGGATCCGAACAATCCTAGAGCTCCTCTAACATTCAACACTAAGCTTACGTCATACATTCCTGAGTCATTCGCAGCCGCGCAAATCACGCCTACTTTTTCGACTGCTAATCTGTCGAATATTGAAACTACTACTATGCAATCATCACCTAACCTCAATTCATCGTCAACAGCTTGTAATATCAGTTCGTCGGCAACGGCAAGGACCGAACCTGAGACACAGCAATCGAGACAAAACGAAAGTTGTGACCGGGGAAGTTTAGGCTCTCATGCTAGGAAACGTCCAAATTCACCGAATAGAGATCAACTGGAAATAGCAATTGATTTCTCCAAAGACATTTCATTCGAATCGTTTTTGGGCAAGGGTCTGGGAGTTAAACCAAGGACACCCAAAATTTCTCCTGTTAAAAAGCGGGATAACGTTTTCTCGGAATTTGATTTTGTGGCGTTCAAAAATGAAATGAACCAGCAGGAATGGATGGCGCCTAGTAGCTTGGTTAGAAAGCGCCACCTTGATAGAAGCTTAATTGTCTCAACAAATGCATTTGGATATTACTCGAAACTGGATGAAAATTCAGGAATGGTTATCGAGAGTACTTCTGATCAATTGAAGCAGCTTCAAAGGTCATTCGAGATTTTAATGAAATCTCTGTCTCGTGGAACCGTTTCGCCTGAATCGGAAATGCATGAGCAAGAATTGCAATCAGTTATGTCGAGGTTGACCAGTTTGACCTTCAAAAACTGCCATGAAAATAACCCAACAGGAGGTCATTCAGAGAGGAAAAGTGGCCAGAATAAAAAGAATGCAGAGGTCATGCTAAAGCAACTGAGAATAAACGTGGTGAGTTCGGGTTCAAAAGCTGACGATGAAATGTGGAAGTCAAATTTGGACTCATTATTTTCATCTAACCCTGGAAATGAAAGAACTATTCGCGATTTACCGGGTGAAGTTTACCATAGCAAGAATGCGAAGGCAAGAAGAAAGCGATTGAAAGGCCCTAATACTGGGGCTACTCGAAGATCCATGCTGATGTCTAAAATTGATAGTTTCATTGACCAAAGCGACTTAAACGATGAGTTGATATCAGAAAAGCTGAAACTTGATTATGTGAAGCTTCGAAGAAATGAGAAATCGAGGCTGCATCATGATATTTACCCAAACGAGAAAGGGTTTTTCTGCGACAGACCAGCTTGTACGTGTTTGGGTGAGAATAAACAAGTAGGACCTCATCATGGAGTGTTTCACAACGACCCAACGTATAAGCAATGCAACCCTGAGAGCAATAATTTATCGAAATTATACCATTATTACATAGACATGACTCCTAAGCATCATTTCTTTCTGACAGAAGCAACGAAGATTCCTTATGATGGTCACAATTATACATTCAATGGATTCTCATTGTTCAGTCACGAACCTCTTAATAACATTCCGGCAGCTAATTTCACAAAAGGCAAAACTCAATACTCGTTCGAAATCGTAGAAGAACCGGCGCCGACCAGTTTCTCGATCCGAGATTGCGATCTGCTAAGTGACTTCATATTCTATAAACTTCTGGAGTTCTTTGATTTTTCACTCCTGGACGAAAGATCTGACAAAAGTGATGAGCCCTACTGTCGCAAGTTCCACTTCCTACCCCGTTTTGAACGGGATTTACCCGAAAGTGGAATAGAGGTCTTGTCAGCGCATGTGATTCTCCGACATGTCATATCAAGTTTTGCGCCGCTTTTTGCAATAGAGAAACTGAACGACATTCGATATTTGGATGCGACCTTAAGAAACAGAGTGGCGGTGTCACTCAAAGACTACTTAGTTTACTACCCTGGAATGAAACCAACGTGTGTTCGTGTAGACAATTTATCTTTTCGAGGTAATGACAAGCCAGTTATTTGTCATACGAGTCTGTTACCCTCGGCATTGTCGTTTCTGGGCGACAAGAAGTTCATAAATATGAAGAAATTGTACGCTAAGATAAAAGAAACAATGCATTTCCGAAACGATCCGACGGACCAAGATTGGCTTGCAGAGCTGGATCGAATGATGAACGAGCATAAACGAACGAAACGTGCAACTTTAGTCTGTGATTTGCCAGCGGAGAATTGCTACTTCTCAGGACTAAAATGCGACATAACTCATTGTGCAGTTTATCTGCCGAGAATAGTCTTCCACATCAGAAGACACTTGGCAATCCAACGTCTCTGTAAGAAGTTTGACTACGTTATACAGAACCCGTTGCATTTTGAAGCAGCCTTCACACACAGTTCGGCTAGTGAGAATGTTATGGACGGCACGAACAAAAGTCACATGCGGGCTTCAAGGTACAGGGTCGGCAAAAATATGAACGACGTTCCGATATACGAGCGTGCATGGAACCGAAAGCTGAAGGCTGCCAAACATAAACGAAATTTGTTCACGATGATTCAAACAATGCGGTCGTTGCCGAGAACCGAATCGGAAATCGTTGACTACCCGACGACTGATAATTACGAGCGAATTGAGTTTTTAGGCGATGCAGTTCTCGAAATGATTGTAACAACTCATCTTTTCTTCATGCTACCAGAAGCCAAAGAAGGAATCCTTTCTCTGTTCAGGATATCATTAGTTGCTAACAGCCAATTGTCAAAAGTCAGCAAAAAAGCAGGCCTGCACCGCCATTTGTTGATATCTCACGATGTGTATTTCAATCTACCCGGACCGAGAGAGAAGATACATGCGGATATTTTGGAATCGTTCTTGGGTGCAGTTTTCCTTGACTCTGGTCTGACGGAAGCCGACAGAATTTTTACCCAAATGTTCTTTCCGGACGTTGCTGAAAGGGCCATGTGGATGAACCTGAAGCCTCACGAGTACCAAAATGAGTTTCCAGATGGCGATAGACACTTGATTGGAAAGTGTGAAACGTTGAAAAAGCTAACGGAGCTCGAAGGTTTGACTGGGATCAAGTTCAAGCATATTTCCTTATTAGCAAGAGCTTTGACGCCGAATTCGATTGGGCATAACTTCTTGAGTGGCTCTAACAACGAACGACTTGAGCTTCTCGGAGATACAGTTATGAAACTTTTGGTCACGGATTTTATCTACCGGCACTTCCCGGTATACCACGAGAACCATCTCAGTACCTTAAGAGGAAACCTTGTGAGTCGATTTGTCCAAGAGGAAGTTACAAAAGAACTTCGTCTATCGGACTTCACTTTGGATAAGTTATGCGCCGAGTTGAACCAACATCAGTCGTGTAATTTGGTGACTGCAAAGCGAAAAGCAGACTTGTTCGAAGCGTTCCTAGCTGCAGTTTTTATTGACCAAGGGCTGGAAACTTGCCAGCGTATTTTTAAAATCTGCATCTTCCCTAAAATACCAAAACTTCTCAAGAACCAAAAGTGGCTGACGCCACACTTGATGTTGCATTGCTGCTTCCTGGCAATCAGAAGCGTTGCCGACCTTGAGAAATCCTTAGTTCTCATTCCATCCTATAGGGTGCTGCCAAACAATGATTCCAGTGTATCAATTGCATCACTAGAACACAGTAAGTCTAACTCCAAAGACCAGTCAGCTAAATTTAATTCATCTGCTAACAATCAAAATTTAATTGGTGTGAAGCGAGTTGGAGTTTTTGTTGGTGGAAAGATGTTCGGAGTCGGTGTTGCGAAATCTCTGAATCAAGCGGCAGTCCAAGCATGTCGCGAGGCACTGTCCTTTTTCCAAAGCAAACATCCGAATACATTGGCCACCATGCTTAACGAACGTGTAGATTCGATTCTGAGCAATAAAGACGCAATTGAAGCTGGAAAGAGTGTATCACGAGAGTTAGACGAAGAAGATTTTGTATATGACTTGGAATTGGTTGAAAGGAAACGACCCAGAAACGGAGATTTTGCTCCAAATCGAAATAAGCTGCACAGTAATTCAAAGCATAATCAACAATCAACACCTTCAACACAAATAACTACCAACTCGTCTCCAAGTTCTAAAGACAAAAGGACAAATGTTCACGAAAATCAGTCCCACTTCGAAAACAACATTCCATATTCAAAAGGAAACTTTACAGGAGGCAATGATCGGAGAGGCCGACAATTTAATAATAACCGAAGAGATTGCAGCAGAAGCGACCAATTTCGCAACAATTCCGAATCGATTAGAAATTGGAAGTATTCAAGATCAGATAGAAGAAATGACCGCAGTCTGAGTAATGGAAACTCAAGAAACCAAAACGAGAGAGAGGATGGTTTCAATCCAAGAAGCCATGGCACGGAAATGCCACACCATGGCTCTAGCAGTAATACAAGAATGCAGTTCAATAATTCAAATAGTGGAAATATTAACGGAACAAATCGATCTCATGCAAGTTATAATAACCAGCTAGTTAACGGAAATAACAATGAAGATCGCCGATTTGGGAACACATCTGGCTACAGTGGTGACAAGAGGGATCAACACAACCGATCTGGCGCTAATAATTATGAAAATAGGGAGCAGTTTGGTAATAATAGTCACAGTCATCGAGTGGATAGCTTTGTTAGCAATAATAGTGTGAATGCAGCTCCTCGTGATGATCACGGGACTGTGTTAAATATCACCAGGAGTGCATCACTTTCCAATACAAATCCAAGCAATGTTGTCAATGCAAATCCAAACCAATCATCTTCTAACTCTTCATCAGTTTCAGCGCCTGCAAAGAATTTCTATCAAATTTTTAGTGCCTACTAAATTACTCTCTAAAACAATCAAGTTAAACTAAAAATTCGCTATCAAATACAATTTTGTGAATATGTGAAAAGCTTAAAACGAATCTCAAGCGGTGCTCGAAATATTTATCTTCTATCTTGTGTGTACTAAAATGTGCCATTTTATCCAATCAGACTTGCAAAGACAAGGCGGCAATGTCTATTAATGAACTCGATGAGGAGCTTTTTTCATAATTTTTCTTTCGCTCTGCCAATTGCAGTCAATCAATTGATTTTCTTTTTTTTCACATTCAAAGCCCGTACGGCTCAAACGATTTTCTTTCCATTGTCAGAAAAACTGGAAATGGTTGACCTAGTGATAAGAACCGTCGAATTGCCTACCGTATCACCGTACCGAATTTTGCAGATTTGCATGTGGAAACTTGAATTATAATATAAACTTGAGTTGAAGTCAGGAGATACGAGATTGTCCGAAAGCGGATCTCGTTGCTGAAATAGATTTGCAAAACTTAGGTAAGTAAGCTAAGATAGATTTGCGACACTTTATGTAGGTTAAACTTCCTTTTAAAACGTTTCTATAATGTAGGATAATTTAACTTCACTGTCAAAATCAATCTGGAGTCGCGCACTTCAAGTTTACCAACCCTCGCTCAAATTGAACAATGATTTTTTCAATCTTTTTGACAAAGTATAGCTCTGAAAACCCTCTACCGCTCGTTTAGTTAATAACAAGTTTTCTATTAGCAATTCTTAGACACGCCGGACAAAACGCTTGCTAGGAATAAAGAGTCCTTTCTACTCTCTGACTTACAAAGTAAACTAAAATTTGTTGAGAAATCTTTCTTAAGCGAGAAAGTATGTTGTTATACCCTCAGCCGTTAGGTGAGGTATAAGATAGTTGTTCAAAGTCTATGCTGAGCGCTAACTGAGAAATAAGAAATAGAACGATTAAGATCACAACTTAAATTCATCGGTCTATGTTTAAGTCTGGATGACGCTGACCTCGAAGCATTTGAGATACAGCGTTTCATAATAACTAATACATATGTTGTTAGGTATAGATAGATACTTATTTAATCCTCAGACTTCTATATGTATTATGTAATCAGTTAGGTCTATAATATGTAAACATTACCAACTGGTAGTTTTAGCACCTAATTGTACATTGTTTATAAAGGGATGTTTTACTACGATATCCGTATGGATAACATTTCCCTCCTTGTGAGAAATTGAGTTCTAGATCCTCCGCCTGTTTTGTGGACTTCTGTGTTTTTTCTTCTTTCTCTCTCTGAAAGGTCATTGAATTTCCTCTAATTGGACTGATCGATTGCAGGAAATTCATAGCGTCCTCAAAGTCTTTGCTGAAGGAGTCCTCTGTGATCTTCGGCTTGTCTAGGATGTAACGCGAGCTTGTGGTTCTTGGTGGTGTAACGGTTGTGGTTGTTTCTCGGGCGTTTTCAAGCGTATCGCTACTCATGTGGACTTCTGTACATACTATTTCTTCTGATGTTGCCAATGATGGTGATAGGTATGCCGTGACCTCTTCGTTTATCGTGGTTTGTTTTCCGCATTTGTCAATCAGATTGGAGGTGTTAGATTCCTTTGGTGTAATATCCTCCGTATTTGTGTACTCGATGGTTGCTACCGTGTTTGACGTTTCCGTGTTGGTAGAGATGTGTCCAATTGGGATGGCGTTCCCGAATTTTCCGGCTAGAGTGCTTGTCCTTGATCTTGTTGATCGCCGAATTTCCGGCGAGTTTGCTTCCGGTGTGGCCTTTAGATCAATTCTTTTGGCTGCGGGTTGTTTACTTGGGGATGGGGTTTTATGGTCGAGTTCGGTATCCGACGAGAGTGAAATCGATGTGTCACAGTCGAATTCGATCGTTGCGGGGTCGGCTTTGGCTTTTTTCTTGGGGCTGATTGTTCTGTGGTACTGATTTTACCGGGAGGCGTTGCGTGTTTGGTTTGCTCCTGTCCCGGGCATTCTTCTGGTTTTTTGAAGGAAATGTTGATAACAGTTTTTGTGGGCCTAGAGCTCGTCGATTCAGCGTTTGTTGTAGTATTTCTTGAGTGGATTTTGGTGGTGGCTTTCTCGGACTTGTTATCGATTTTTGTTCCGTTCTTCCTTGCGCCCCCATACTAGGTGTCTGTTTTCCTAAAATACGCGGTTTAGCTCTTGGTAGGTGTTTATAAGCGACAAAGTCCTTTAATGCCGCTGGTCTACATTTTCCATAGACCCTTGGATCGGGTATGAATGCTAGACCGTCGTGCCTAATTAACCTAGGTTGCTTCCCGTCTTCCCTTATCCACGCAGTATGTGGGGAGTAATTCATTATTGAGCCATTTTCGATTATTTTGAATTGTGCCCCAAATGTTCCCGGATTTTTAGTTTTCCTGGCAATTGTTCCCGTTTTCCTAGCCACTTGTTCAAGACGTAGTCCTGTTTTAGGATTTATTGTATGTGCTGGACCTTTAAACCGATCCTTCAGGAATATTAACGGGGCTCTTCGTAAATTTTCTTTTTCTTGTCTTGTTAAGATTCTTATGGGGTTACGTGTCCTTAAATTTTCAAAATCGTTAGATTTTTCTTTTAGAAAAGATTCCTGGAGTGATCTGGCTTCATAAGGTTTGTTTGATAAAGGTAGATGCGCACCTATTGGGAATTTTTGGAGTAGTCTCCTGTCGAACTCCTCATCGCTACTGTCTAGTGTTACTGCATCCGTGTGTGTGATTACATCCGGTTGGTGGTGTGCTCGTCGTTTTCCTGAGGTTGAGTTCGTGCTTTGATTAGCCTCGGTCGCGTTTCGTTCCGCGTTGATTTGTTCTGGTGGAGCCGGGTTGAAAGTCGGTTCGGGCACGTATTGATGATCTGGTGTGGGCTTCGGCTTGTATTTGAGGTCCAATTCGTCTTCACTGTTTACCTCTCTGTTCCACATTGTTTCCGCCGACAGCGCTGGTTTTGATAGTACTTTTTCGTCTAAACATGACAGTTTCGTATTTTCCCACGAAAGATTTGACAATTTAGGCGACGTGCTGAGATTACTTAGGGGTGTATTAGCTTTTCTACCATAGTGAGATTCAAACGGTGTAACTTTTGTAGAAGCGTTAGGTGTAATACGGAGTGTTTTTATTAATTCAGCCACGTCTGATGCCAATTTATACGGACGATTTGATTTATCAATTTTCATAATTGCTAATCGCGATTTTAATGTTCGTATGAGCCTTTCGACCATACCTATAGCTCTATGGTCGTCCACCGGTGCGAAAATTAGTTTTATATTATGAGTTTTACAATATATGAGGAACGTTTTGGCCCTGAAACCTTGTGCCTGGTCACATCTGATTGCACGGGGTACGCCTTGGTTGACTATGTGGTTTTGCATAAAACGGATGATTGTATCTGCTTTGTTATTGGTAACAACTTTTGCGTACGGGAAACGTAAGAAACGGTCGACACCCACCAATATGTAAACTTCCTTATCGTTTTCATCCGGTAAGGGTCCTGCAAAATCCAATTGGATTTCTTCATTCGGTTCTACCACCGCGTCCAATGTTGTGTAGTGTTCTTTACCCGAGATAACTTTAAAGTTCTTACCCTTTTCCCGGCAGTTTTTGCAGTTCTGGGCAGTTGCCACAATGTCTCTATGTAGGTACGGGTACCACACATGTTTTGCCGCTTCTAGCATTCCTCCTTGTCCTGGATGTGTGAGGTGTAATGCATCCATCAGTGTGGGTCTTAGCTGTTTTGGAATGACGACACGGTCGTCGTAGAGCAGAATATTTTCCCTGACTGATAGGCGATGTCTTACATTATAGAAGTAAGGGCCGTAGCAGCTCTTGATCGAGTCCCATTTCTGCTGTTTAACCATAGTTAAAAGCGGTGATAGATTTCATCTCAATCTCGTTTGGTGGCGGCTGCTAGGAAGTTGACGTCCATTACTTTCCGTAAGTTTTTCCGGAACATTGGGGTGTCTTCTTCTTCTATGGTGGCAATTGTTTGGCATTCCGTATCCTGTTGTGTTGATTGGGTTTTACCGGTTTGGCATTCTGTGTCCTGCGATTGTTTCAATTCCAGCGTCTGGCAAATTGCATCGGTTTTTTCATTTTCAATTCTGTTGAAGGTAAAGCTTTCTTTCGAGGGTATGACTTGGTGTGATACGTCACTGAATGTTAGTTCTGGCGGTGGTGGTTTCGATAGCAGGGCATTAAAAGATGCGTAATTGATGGGAGAAAAAGTGAGTTGAGTTTGAGCTGAATTGTGGGACTTTCTTGTTATACGACGAAAAGGAGGTAATGACATGCCTTGTTGCAGTTGTCTATTCATGTTTTTCTGTTTTTTGAAATTTGGATCGATTGAATTAGAGTTAAATGGAGAGCGACTTGATTTAAACAATTGACTACGAAGAGTGAACGCAGTTTGTGTTTGAACCGAATTTGAACGTGTGAAATTTTCGTTCCGGTCGAGCTTTATGGTGCCTAGATAATTAATAGTTTTGACATTATTCCACACGGAGTTAATACTACTGCTATCTTGGAATTCTACGCATTTCACGAAATCATCGATTAGTGCTACTACGAAGTTTTCGTCCCAGTACGCCGGAGGTTGTGGTTTTCCGACCGGGTGTCGCGAGATGTAGTCAATAAGACCCATTTTACTACCAGCCAGGTGGTGTATGTCGAAATCGAATGGAATGAGTCGATCAATCCATCTAGTTAACCTACTCTGGTAGGTTTTATTGCCCCTATTACTCTTTAAGGCACCAACTAGTGCTTGATGGTCTGTTATTAAAGTAAAGCGTCTACCGTAAAGATAATACTTGAAGTGCTCAATGGCCCATACTGCGGCCAAAAGTTCGAGTTCGTTTACCGAGTATTTCTGTTCGCATGAATTCAGAAACCTTGATGCATATGCTATGGTGGCCCAACCATCCGGTGTGTTTTGTTCAAGGGCCGCGCCTATTCCTTCGCGGCTGGCGTCACAAACAATACGAGTGTCTCTGTCACTTACGAAGTGTCTGTTTTCCGTAATATTCTTTACGGCATTTAGGATATTTTTAAATGCTTTTCCGTTTTCTTCACCACAATTGAAATTAAATTTGTTTGCTGTAGACAATAGTGGTCTTAGGGGATTGCATAATTGAGCTAAATTTGGAATGAACTTGTTTAAATGATGAACAGAGCCCATGAAACTTTTCAATTGTTTGAATGTTTTTGGA